GATTCTTTTGAAAGTAAATTAATAGAAACGGTTTGATTTTTGATAGGAATAGTTTTCTCAAGAGTTTTGATAACATAACTTTGAGTAAAATCAAATCCTATCTTATGGATAGAACTCTTTTCCACCTTTTGGGATAGTCCAATTTTTAAGAGTTTGTTCAATTTTTTCAATTTGAAGTTCTTTTGAATTAATATCATTTGAAATATTATTTGATGCAGATGCAAATGATGCAGTATTATGATCATCAATTTCTTCATCATTTTCTTGAAAATAATTTGAAGTACTACTACTTCCTTCTCTTGAATACCACCTCTACTAAACCAATTAGACATGAAAGACATAAGAAAAACAGTAATCTTACCACTATAGACACGGTGCAACAGGCTAGACAGATGATTCACCAAAGCTTACAAACGGGACCACCCTAAACGCCTACTTTGGCAAACACGGGCTTACCAACGTCTATTCAGCAGACATCCATTACTACACATCAGTACTGCTACGATAGTAGAATGACACAGTTATCCTCACAATACTCAGTTATGGCTCTAATACCAAAATAGGCCCAGGGGGGAAGAAAAGAGATAGGAGGAAGGAATAGAGAAGAATACAATAATAATTTATTGAAATACTAAAATTTGATACAAAAATAAAATTGCAAAGAAAGCTTTAAAATTACAAGGAAATCTAAAACTTTCTTGAAGGTGAAAATCTCCCGCAATTTCACACTTGAGTAGAACAATTGAAGTAATCCTCCTTAAATAGCTGAAAAATCCGGATTTGAAACTTCCTTTGAAGAAAATTGGAGAATCTTGAATAATGTAGTGATTGATTTTATCTGCCATGTGCAATCTCCTTTTTGAGAAAGTTGAGTCCTTTGATATATATATATATATATATATATACTACCACCTGATTTTTGAATATGTAAACTTTGTTTCTTAAAAATGAAATTGAATATAGTAAAGACCTCATTTATGTATTTTCCTCTCTCATAACCACCATCACATGGATGCATATAATTAAAAGGGAGAAAAAGAAATTTATTTCAAAAAAAATATAAAAATGGAACAGAATCTAGCAGTAGTAGGAAAATCTTGTTTCTTTGTGTTCCTGCACACTGTTCAAAGGTTCAATGGTGATTTTGTCCCTTTTCTGTTTTGTCTCTTTCAAAAGCCAATGTTGTGAAAAACTTTTTGAAAAGTCAATGATTTTTCTTTCAATTTGCACAAAAAGTGTTACACACACACACACTAGGTTTAAGCAACGTGCAATGCATGTTTGCTTAGTTTATGCTTTATATATAATTTTTTTTGGTTAAGAATTAAATTTTTATTAATAAAGATGTAATTTTTTTGGTTAATTAAATAACTAATGATGTAATGTTTAAGTAATTGATAAATAATTACACATTGTGATATATTTTTTTAAAAAAAAGAGTATTAATAGAATCTATAGTATGGTCCTATAAATAAACATTGCTCATAGTTTTATGAAAGTTGTTTGAGATAATTTTAATTCTAAGATAACGATTCA